TCGCACGTGTGAACTGTCAGCTGAGATGCACGTCAGCAACACCAAGTCTCACCAAGATGGGGTTGGCTTTGAAATAACAAATCATTTTTTTGGCTTTTACTCTCACTATTAAAGTGCTGGAATGCCCAGGACCCTGTTTCAGTGGGGAGCCCAGGTGGGGTTTCCCTCCGCTGACTGCCTGGAATGATGCTAAACTACAATGTCTTCATCTTTAACTGAGAACAACAGCACCTACTCCTTGAGGCAGTTGCAAAGATTGATGATGATAATGCATACACATTGCTTAACACAGTGCCTACCACGAAGCAGGCATTCAAATACATATTAACCATTAGTAGGAACACTGGCAGTGGCAGTAGTAGTAATTTAATACTAGTCAATATTCAACACTTTTCTGACATTTTTGGCTATGGTGTCCCCAAAGCAGGCATTATTATTCCTGGGGAGATTAAAAAGAGAAGGTGGAACATTTATGCCCATTAATCTCTTGGATTTCTCAGCCAATGTTGTGGGGCTTTCTTTGAACTTTTTAAAAAAATTAGTGTATATTTCCAGGAAGTTACAAAGGTAGTACAGAGAAGTCCCCTGTGTCCTTTCTGTAGTTTCCCCTAATGGGTATCTCTTATCACATCATAGAAAAATATCACAATTAGGAAGCCATCATTGGTACTGTGTGTGTGCCATTGAGTCACATGTGTACGTTTGTGTAACCAGCACCACGCTCAGGACACGGCACTGCTCCATCACCAGAGAGCTGTGCTGTGCTGCCTCCCTGTACTAAGCCAGGGCCTGGGTGCCCACTCCTGTCTCGATGTTGGCTCAGGCCCACCCTTCCTGTTTGCCAGTTATGAAAGCAAGATGGGCAGGGGATGGTGGTGGGAGAGTTCACTTTAAAAAATTCAAAATAATGCCACAAAGTTTGGTGAAACATTATAAAAAGAATAGAGTGTCCATACGAAATTGTATTTAAAGAGATAGAAATACACATTGGGTACAGCGTGCACAGCTCAGGTGAGAGGTGCGCCCAAAATCTCAGAAATCACCACGAAAGAAGTTATCCATGTAACCAAACAGCACCTGTTCCCCAAAAACCTATGGAAATAAAATAATAAATAATAACAATAACAATAATAAGAGATGACTAAAGTTGGAAAGCAAAAAAATGATAGAAATAGTACAATTAGACCATATAAATAAAAGGTGTTCAAAAAGTAAGAACTTAGAGATTGAACAAAATTTAAATTGATAAGTAAGTAACATTAGAAAAACAAATTAGGTAAAAACCAAAAAATGTTTAAAAGTCTTGAGCAAAAAATAACTAAAGGCTAAACATAAGCACATCCTATTACCCACTAACTCTTAGGCATATATCCAATAGAAACACATGCATGTGGCCAGGCACAGTGACTCACGCCTGTAATCCCAGCACCTTGGGAGGCCGAGGCGGGTGGATTGCCTGAGGTCAGGTGTTCAAGACCAGCCTGGCCAACATGGTGAAACCCCATCTCTACTAAAAATACAAAAAAAAATTAGCTGGGCATGGCAGCGGGCACCTGTAATCCTAGCTACTTGGGAGGCTGAGGCAGGAGGATCCCTTGAACCTGGGAGGCAGAGGTTGCAGTGAGCCAAGATCGTGCCATTGCACTCCAGCCTGGGCAACAAGAGTGAAACTCTGTCTCACACACAAAAAAAAAAGAAAGAAAGAAAAGAAAAGAAGCACATGTAATGTGTCTAGCATTAGACAGGTACATGCATGCTTGTTAATAGCTATTGTTCTTAGAAGCTGAAAATGACCCAAAAGTACATTATCAGTACAATAAATTGTGGTATATTTACACAATGGAATTCTATACAATAATGAAAGTGAACTATAACTACACAAGACAACACAGATGTATTGAATTCAAGAATCCAGAAACAAAAGAATATACATTGTATGACTCCATTTCTAAAAATGCAACCAACAAGCTATGTTAAGCTAAGATGTTAGAATCTGGACAGAGGTTGCCTTTGGAGGCTCTTCATCTATAAAGTGGAGGAAAAGTTGCCGTTTCGTAGGGTGGCCATGATGATCAAATGGGACAATGTGGGCAGCAGACCAGTGTTGGTCACCTAGTCAGCCCTCAATTAGCTTAGATTTGCAGGTCTGGGTGCTTTCTGGCCTTTTTGTTTTTGTGATGTTTGTGGGGAGGTTGTTTTTGTACAGGAATTTCACCTCCTTTAATTGTCTTCCTCCATCCTCTCTTCTCCCTCAGGTCTTGCTGTCAAGTTTGAGGTTCTTGCTCTGTGTTTATTCTTTCTCTTTAGCAATACTCCCTCAAGTTGCCATTATGACCGGCTCGTGGCACTGGTGCCTGGGAAGAGGCTGAATGGTCAAGTGGTACAATAGGCACACTGTCAGCCATTGTCTGTGGCTGTGAGACCATTTCTGGTCTAACATGCACCTTCTCTAATCAACTGTCAGCCAGAGAAGGGGAGAAAACACAGGTCTTGTTTTAGCAGCCACAAGAATATGGGAGGCTGTTCAATGACTCAGTGTGCAGAAAAGAGTTTGCATGGCCAGCCTGAACTGCTGTCTTTAGAAAGACTGCTTGCAGGCTGGGCGCGGTGGCTCACACCTGTAATCCCAGCACATTGGGAGGCCGAGGCAGGCAGATCACAAGGTCAGGAGATCAAGACCATCCCGGCCAACATGGCGAAACCCCGTCTCTACTAAAAATACAAAAAAATTAGCTGGGCGTGGCAGCGTACACCTGTAGTCCCAGCTACTAGGGAGGCTGAGACAGGACAATTGCTGGAACCTGGGAGGCAGAAACTGCAGTGAGCCAAGATCGTGCCACTGCACTCCAGCCTGGCAGCAGAGAGACTCCATTAAAAAAAAAAAAAAAAAAAAAGGAAAGAAGGAAGGAAGAAAGGAAGGAAGGAAGGAAGGAAGGATGCTTATAAGGCTGGCCTTGGTTGGAGTTTGAGAACTTGGAGGGTCAACAGTTTGATGGAAAACTTTTCCTACATGATAAGAGGGCCTCAGTGTGTCTACACTCTCTGTACAGCAGTGAGGTTGATGTTGAACCCCTGCTCTCCTCTAGGAGTCTGGAATTTTGGCATATGCCAGGCAGAGGCTGCCTTCATGACCAGCCCCCAATAAAAACCCTAGCTGCTGTGTTTTAAGGAACTTCCTTGTGACACATACTGTCGCAGCTCACTTCTGGGGGAATTGAGCATGCTCTGTGTAATGGCACCGGGAGAGGACTCCAGAAGCTTCTGCCTGGTTTTCTGGACCTTTTGCTTTTGCTGGTTTCGCCCTGTGTCCCATTGTTGTCATATCACAGCTGTGAGAATGACACTAGGCTGAGTCCTATGAGTCCTCTAGTGAGTCACTCAATGTGATTTTGGTCTTGGGAATCTCAGACACACTCACAAAACTGTGTGTGAGTCACAGTGTTGTGTATGTGCTGGGAAGAAATAGGGCTCCCCACACTAGGGTCAGAACTAGGGTTGTTTTTGCACAGGAATTTCACCTCCTTTAATTGTCTTCCTCCATCCTCTCTTCTCCCTCAGGTCTTGCTGTCAAGTTTGAGGTTCTTGCTCTGTGTTTATTCATTCTCTTTAGCAATACTCCCTCAAGTTGCCATTATTTCCGAAAAGCCATAGAGAGGTGGGGTGGTGTAGAAAGAATGACGAGGTTTCAAGCCGGGCATGGTGATTCACGCCTGTAATCCCAGCACTTTGGAAGGCAGAGGTGGGCGGATCACGAGGTCAGGAGATCAAGACCATCCTGGCTAACACGGTGAAACCCCATCTCTACTAAAAATACAAAAAATATGCTGCGCGGGCTAATGGTGGTGAGTGCCTGTAGTCCCAGCCACTCGGGAGGCTGAGGCAGGAGAATGGCGTGAACCCAGGAGGCGCAGCTTGCAGTGAGCAGAGATCATACCACTGCACTCCAGCCTGGGCAACAGAGGGAGACTCCATCTCTTTGAAAAAGAAAGAATGATGAGGTTTCCCCAATGATTATGAACATTCTGTTCTAATTACACAAGCTGGGTGGGCATGGTGGCTCACGCCTGTAATCCCAACACTTTGGGAGAATCATTTGAGCCCAGGAGTTCATGACCAGCCTAGGCAACAAAGGGAGATATTGTCTCTACAAAAAGAAGTGTTTTAAAAAGTTAGCTGGATGGCCGGGCGTGGTGGCTCATGCCCGTAATCCCAGCACTTTGGGAGGCTGAAGTGGGCAGATCACAAGGTCAGGAGATGGAGACCATGCTGGCTAACACAGTGAAACCCCGTCTCTACTAAAAATACAAAAAATTAGCCAAGCATGGCGGCGGGCACCTGTAGTCCCAGCTACTTGGGAGACAGGCAGGAGAATGGTGTCAACCCAGGAGGCGGAGGTTGCGGTGAGCCGAGATCGCGCCACTGCACTCCAGCCTAGGCGACAGAGCGAGACTTCATCTCAAAAAAAAAAAAAAAAATTAGCTGGACATAGCGGTGTGCTACTGTAGTCTCAGCTACTTGGGAGGCTAAGGTGAAAGGATCACTTGAGCCCGGGGAAGTCGAGACTTCAGTGAACTGTGATTGTGCCACTTCTCTCCAGCCTGGACAACAGAGCAAGACTGTGTCTCAAAAAAAAAAAAAAAAAAAGACAGAAAGAAAACATTGTACCAACTCCTGAAGACCACTGAAAGTGTGTGTGAGTGTGCATGTGTTTGACATGTATGAGTGAGTGGGTGGGCGGGTGGATGAGTGTGTGAGGCTGTTAAAGTGGGTGTGCCTGTGTGTGAGTGGTGAGAGTGTGAGGGTGTCGTGAGTGTGAGCGTTGTGTATGGGGGTTGTGAAGGTGTGTGCATGTGTGCATGCGTGTACAATCTGTGTGTGTGCATGTGTGTGTGTGTGCATGTGTAATGAGACCCCAATGAGGGAGACATGATCCTTTACAGTTTAATAATAGCCAGTGGACAACTCAATCGTCTGAGCCCTCATCCAAGGTTTCTGCTCACATGCTCAGGCCTCCAGACAGGAATTGTTCCAGAGCTGGAAATAGTTTATCCAGGGCACGGTGTATATCAAAGACTCGCAAATTAAACTCTGTGGAAGAAGAAAGAAAACAGACTTTGGGGGAAGTATTTTTCAAAGGTGAGCAACAGGCGCCTGTTCCCCAGGTCTGTCCCTGTGGCCGCTCATGAACCCCATCGGCAGAGAGGGGAGCTGCCCACAGTCAAGGGTAGAAACAGAAAGGAGGGCCAGTTTGCAACAGGAATGTCACCCTGTCTTCCCCCTTCCCAGCCACTTGGGACCCACAGCAGGTGCAGCTGGAGCCTGCGGCCTGGCAGGACCCTGTGATATGGATCAGGCAGGCCAGCAAGGAGCAATAGCATCGTCCCCTCCTCCTGCACCTCCCTAGGCATGGGGGAGCCACTTGTATCTGCCAGCTTTCAAGGGGTGCCACTGACAGACCAGGAAAAATAGGAGGGAACAAGGAGGAAATTGGACAATGCTTAGAGACCTGGAGAGGGAGGGAGAAGACAGAAGAAGGACCCCAAGGAAAGGCAAACACTACTTTCACACAGAGGGTCTGGGGAGCAGGCCAGGTAGGAGAAGGGTCCAGGCGACTAGAGGCCTGGGTGCAGGGCTGTACCAGCCCAAATATAAAACCTCCCTCCTTCCCCCTTAGGAGGTGCAGGCAGCTCCAGGGCTGGACCCCAGCTGGCCCCAATCCACATAAGTGGAAAAACTGCCAACTTCTAGCTGTTGCTTTTTAAAATGTTCACTTCACAAGTCCCTTTGGGATGACTCCTACTACACACCTTTCTCAGCTTCTTGCTTTGCAGGGGACAGGAAGAATTGCTCGTGTCATTCCTCTTGCATTTGGTCCGGCCAATCTTCACGGTGACTATATACTCCACTCCTGTCGTCAGCTGCAGAGAATCAGTTGTGCTGTTAGTGTGGACTCCAAGCATCCGGTGGATGAACCTCTCCTGGAGAAGCTAGGACTGAGAGTAAAGCCCCCAGAGCCATAGTCCTTGTTCCCAGAGCTTACCCACCAAAAGCAGGGCTCCCTTCTCCCTACTTCTGGCTGGAGGGAGGGCAATGGCAGCCAGAGCCCCTGGTCATAGGTTGGTTTGCTGCAGCAGCCACAGAAAGCTTCTCACCTGCCTCCTTTCCATCCTCAGGACAGATGAGGTAACATCAAGCTGGGTTGCCTGGCCACCACAGGCCACTCCCAGGCTGGCTCATGTGGCCTTCATAATGCAACAGAGTCAGCATCTTGTCCCCACCCTCCCAGTCCCTTCTGCCACTTCCTGTCTCCCTGCTATCCTTCCTGACCAACCTAGCGGAAGGCAGCTTAGCAATACAGTTAAAAACAGTTTTGAAATCAAATTGATTTGGGGTACGCACTTTCCATTTACTGACTGACCTTGAGCAAGCTACTTAGCATCCTCAGCTTTTCCACTTACAAAGTACAAATCACAGTTGTGCCTGCTCATGGAGTTGTTATGTGGGCTAAAGGGAAGCATGCATTTCCCTTAATGCATAAAATACATTTTAAATATTTTCATAATTATAAATTATTAAATGTTTTAGCAAAGTGTCTGCAGCATTACTTTGAAGCAGATTCGGTGTTAGGAGAGTGACAGAACACAAAATCTGGCTTTATCCCCTGCAGACTCTGTCACCATGGGGGAGTCCCTCCATTTTCCTGATCCTCAGTTTCCTCATCTAGGAAACAAGGAGAATAATGCCAGCTTCCTATTAGCGTGTACAGAAATGAAGGAAGGAGGCGTGGTGGGTACACGAGCCACGGAGAACGCACGCCAGGGATTTCCCCATGGCTCTTTCACTTGTGATCAAGTGTGAGGCCATGAACCCTACAGGGGTTGGAGCCTGGAAAAGCCCTTGTGGGCAGGGAGGTCCTACTCCCAGAAGGGAGACTCTAACAGAGAGCTTGGGGGTTACAGTTCCCTGTCCGGTTCTGAGCTGGATTCCCTGAGTAGATGTGTGGATTAGTGGATCTTCACCAATGCAGGAGCTCTGGGAGGCTCCCTGCTGCCTTGCCCTGTCACTGTTGGTCAAGCCCATGGAGAGGGCTTGGTCGTCTCTGGGGTGGTGACTGACGCAGAGAGTGCCCACACTGCTCCTGGGAGGAAGACACCCTTAGCAAATACTGGGACAGGGCAGCAGGGGGGCTAGGCCTGAGGGCAGTACCAGGCTCCCAGCACCCAAGCATGCAGGGGCCATCCACGCATGGGCATTTGTAGGGCTGTACCAGGCATGGTCACACTGACTTTCAGCACGCTCGGAATGTAAGAAAAAACTAAACCACCAGTCATCACTGTAAGTGATGTTCCAGTGTGCAAAGAGTTATTCATTATTAGACTTATTTGTTTGATAATGACAGGAGTAGTAGTAATAACGGCAAAGATTTTTACAAGTCCTATTAGATGTTGGCACTGTGATAAGTACTTCCCTCCTATTCTGAGCCACTTCGCAGGTGAAGAAACTGAGGCCTGGAGAGTCTGGATGTCACTTGACCAAGAGCCTCAATCAGAAGGAGCTGGGCGTGAAGCCCCAGAGGCACCTGACAGCCCTCCATGCCTGCCCTTGTTCCTTTTGTGAGGTGTAAGGACAGACACAATCGTCTGGGTGCGGAGGTGCCCAGAGGCCCATGCCAAGATCCACCCAGCTACCAGGAGGCATGCCTGTTCTGTCTCCTTATCAATATGAATGACATCAAATGCTCATCATTATTCTTTAACAGCTAACTTAATGGTAATTGATTGATTTCACAAGACAAGCCTCCTTGGGGTCTCAACCAAGAGAAGAAGAACCAAGAACCAAATGGACAACATCGCCATCTTGTGGTAGTAGTGCCTCACTGAGCTAGTCCGCGGGACAGTCTGCACTGGGATAAGGATTTGACCTACGCTGACTGGTCCTGCCCACCCTGCACTCGCTCCTTGCGGGTTCTCTCAGTTACAGTTGCCTTACTCTCTGGCCAAAGAGCTTTCCCATAGCCAGTTGTGTTTTCCCAAATCCAGCTAATTGAACTAGGACATAGCATTGTTGCTGCCCCAACTTCTACAGTCGGCCCTCTGTACTTATGAGCTCCACATCTGTGGATGCAAACAACTGTGCATCAAAATATTCAGGAAAAAAATGTATGGTTGCCTCTATACTGAACATTTTTGTCTTGTAATTAATCGCTAAACAGTACAGTATAATAATTATCTACATGGCATTTACACTGTACCAGTTATTATAATTAATCTAGAAATGATTTACCATATGTAGGAAGATGTGCATAGGTTATGTGGAAATGCTATTCCATTTTACACAAGAGACCTGAGAATCCATGGATGTGGGCATCCTGAGGGGTCCTGGAACCAATTCCTCATGGACACCAAGGGTAACTGTATAATTTATTATTCTGACCTTGAGGAAATGTTGGACCAATAAAAATGGTTCCCAAACAACTTTTCTTTCTTCTATTATCCTTCAATTAATATATTTCAGAGAAATTTTATATGTAAAACAGAAGGTGAGGTGATCTGGCTGAACCCTACTTCTCACATCCCCTCCACTTCCAGAATAAACCCTCTCTGTAATGTGAAGTTTGTATAACACAGAAAACACAGTTTTGAATGTTACAACCCTGGACACTGAAAAAATATTGGGGGCTACAGGCCTACAGAGAATATTTGTATTTTGCCAAATGAGAACTTTAAAGGGAGCAAAATCATCCTCGCTGTCACTCTGGCAGGGTCGAATATCAGAATGAAAGGCAATTCTTCCCAAGGAAAAAGAGTTGGCCGGGCGTGGTGGCTCATACCTATAACCCCAGCACTTTGGGAGGCCAAGACGGGCAGATCACCTGAGGTTAGGAGTTTGAGACCAGCCTGGCTAACATGGTGAAACACTGTTTCTACTAAAAATACAAAAAATTAGCTAGGCGTGGTGGTGCACACCTGTAATCCCAGCTTCTCGGGAGGCTGAGGCAGGACAATCGCTTAAACCCGGGAGGTGGAGGTTGCAGCAAGCCGAGATTATGCCATTGCACTCCAGCTTGGGCAACAAGAGTGAAACGCCATCTCAAAGAAAGAAAGAGAGAGAGAGAGAGAGAGAGAGAGAGAGAGAGAGAAAGGAAGGAAGGAAGGAAGGAAGAGTTCAATCCTCAGTGAACATTTTTGTTTCTAAGTGTAATGGAGTTAGAGTTCATGCCAGTCCTTAGAAAAGAATTTTAGAAGCATGGCTGAGGACATTCTGGGATCTGAACAACTCTACAATGGACCCACTACAAGTGAAAATGCTCCCCACTCAGGACCTCACAGAGAACCACTGCTCGGTTGTTTCAGGAGCCACCCCAGAATCCTCACGTGTCTGAAAGGGCAAGAACGGGGCCTGCTGATGTCTGGGAAGAGCAAGGTACAAACCTGCATCTGACTTCGAATTAGCTTCTGAACTCGATATAAGTAGGTGTCGTTGCTGGCATTGTTGTAGGATTGAATGAAGAAGTTAAGCGTTGAATTCATGTTCTTCTTGCTCATAGGCTTCTCCTGGAAGCCCTCCCACCTTTGGAAGTGACCCAGCTTGGCCGACAGGACCAGGGCAATCAGCAGCAGCAGGGGGTTTCTCCAGCATCTGATCCCCATGTCTACAGCCTCGGGAACCTTCTTCCCAACTGCACCTTCCAGGGTGTGGTGGTGCCAGGCAGTAGCTCACTCGTTCTCCCACGGTGACCCTCACCAACGTAGGCTTTCCTGGGGGATGGCCTGCCTGCATTTAAACAGAGATTCAAACTGAACCTTGTCACTCACTTTCCAGTCATTTACACCACCCATTCAGTTCTTTGGTGATTCAGGCAAGCAAAAATTTTAAACACTTGCCAAGGTGTGCAAGCCCCTCTCCCTGCCTTCACAGGTCTCAGGGAAGAAAGCCCCCAGAACACCCCTCCAGTGCTCTGCAATAGGATCTGGGTCATAGAGAAGCATCACTTACGGGAAGGGAGGAGGCCTTATGGAGAAGGTAGTATCTGAACTGAGATATAAGGAAGCAGTCATATGGAGCAAGAGGTGGTACATTCTTCTTACCTACCTTGGGCTCCAACTGTCTTACCAAGCCACCACCTGTTCCCTGTGCTTCCTTTAGAGACACGTTCTCCTTGCTCACCTGCCACCCACCCACCACAGATTTCTGCCTGTGGGATCCCCCTGTACCTGCAGGCCCTGCCCTGGCTTTTGCTACCTTGTTGTGACCCTAGTGGAGCTTTGTGAGGTAATTGCAGCCTCCCTATGAGGGACGAATAAGCTGTGAGCCCCATTTAGAAATTATCCTGCAGACCCCTGAAGATTAGGTGTCACTTACCCCCAAAAGTCCATGAGTGCCCTATTTTAAAAACATTTACTGGCTGGGCATGGTGGCTCACGCCTGTAATCCCAGCATTTTGGGAGGTTGAGGTGGGTGAATCACCAGAGGTCAGGAGTTCGAGATCAGCCTGGCCAATGTGGTAAAATCCCGTCTCTACTAAAAATACAAAATTAGCTGGGTGTGGTGGCATGCACCTCCAGTGCCAGTTACTCGAGAGGCTGAGGCAGGAGAATCGCTTGAACCCAGGAGGTGGAGGCTGAAGTGAGCCGGGATGGCGCTGCTGCACTCCAGCCTGGGTGACAGAGTGAGACTCTGTCTCAAAAAAAAAAAAGAAAAAGAAAAAGAAAAAAGGAAAAACAAAAAGCAGCAGAAAAACACCCTAAATGGAATCCCACCAGAACAAAACATTAGTGGAATAGTTGATGAAATGTGAATAAAATCTGCAGATTAGTTAATAGTATTGTGTGAATGTTGATATTCTAGTTTTCACCATTGTACTGTGATTGTATAATATGTTAAAATTTGGGGAAGTGGAATGAAGGGTATATGAGAATGCTTTACGCTATTTTTGCAACCTTTGTTTAAGTCTGAAATTATTCCAAAATGAAGGTTAAAATGTCCAAAAGTAAATAAAGCATTGTTCTATGAAGAGTGGCGTGCTGAGGAGGGGGGAAGCAGGAGCCTTAGGATCCAACTGTCCTGGCTCAAGTCCTTCACTGGGGACTCTGGGAGAGTTACCTCATCTCCCTATGCTGGGTTTCTTCATCTGTAATATGAGAATGGGGAGAAAGACTCCTCTTGGATTGTGGTAGAGACTAACTGGATATAGGCAAAGAACCTGCTCCCAAGTCAGGTGTCGGGTGCATAAGAACATCTTCTTCGTGATTCTTCTGTGACTCTGAACCCACACTTAACCCTTGGCCTGGTCAGGTCCCTCCTGTCCCGGAAGCCAGGCCACCTTCCATCATGACAATGTTGCTAGCACCTGTCACAACATCCTCCCTTGGCCCCAGAGCCTGTCTCGAGAGGACTTGTCCAGCCGGTGGAGGTGATATGTTTGAAATTCCCTGAGCCTGAGCTGCCGAGGGCCACTTGCTGTAGAATAGATAATGAAGGATTCTGAGTAATCGGGGAGGCCACTCAGACCTGGGTCATCTCAGCATCCCCTGGACACCTGGAATACCCCTGTCAGACCGAGGCCCGTAGAAAGGAAAAATAACATTAGTTGGGCTGTATTCGAAACCCCATGGATGTGGGGCTCAAAGCATAAACAATAAATCTGCTTAAGAAACATGGGAGTTGGTTGTGTCTGTAAAGAGGAAAATGAGTCACTGGCAATTTTAATTGAAGAAAAGGAAAACATAGACCCTGGCTATGCTACAGAAGGAGATGTGAGGGGCCTAACAGGTCACACTGGCATTCCTTAGCTTGTGGCAGTAGAACGCTGATCTCTGACTCTGTGGACATGGAATCAGGAAAAAATACGATTCTGGTCAGGTGCATGTATAAAGGGAGACAGGGAGCTTGGTTATAGCATGGAATAGGGGCAGAGCATAGTGGCTGACGCTTGGGGGCTGAGGCTGGAGGATTGCTTCAGCCCAGGAGTTCCAGACCAGCCTGGGCAACATGATGAAGCCCTGTCTCTACAGAAAATACAAAAATTAGCCAGGCGTGGTGGCACATACCTGTAGTCCCAGCTACTCGGGAAGCTGAGGTGGGAGGATCGCCTGAGCCCAAGAGAAGTCGAGGCTGCAATGAGCTGAGATCGCACCAAGCACTCCAGCCTGAGTGACAAAACAAAGGGAAATAGAGGACTTAGTTGTCTGGTTACTGCCATGAAATAATGGAAAAGTAGGGGCCTGAGTATTTCCATGGAACAAGAGTAAATTAAATTAGGAGTGCTGGCTATAACAAATAGGAGCCCTGTTCTTGCCAATAAAAGAAGAGAAAAATACGAGCTCTGGTTAGACAATGGAATAACAGGAAATGTGGGGTCTGCTCATGTCCGTGGAATGAGGGGCCTAGGAGAGAAGGATTGCAAAAGGGCATGAGAAAACTTCAGGTGATAGATATGTCTGTTGTATGCATTGTAGTGATGATTCCACAGATGCATACATATGATAAATCCCATCAAATCGTACACTTTAAATATGTGCAATTTGGCCTGGCGCAGTGGCTCACACCTGTAATCCCAACACTTTGGGAAGGCCAAGGTGGGCAGATCACATGAGGCCAGGAGTTCAAGATCTGCCTGGCCAACATGGTGAAACCCCATCTCTACTAAAAAACACAAAAATTAGCCGGGGAGCACACGCCTATAGTCTCAGCAACTCTGGAGGTGAGGTGAAAGGATCGCTTGAGCCCTGGAGGTCTAGAATGCAGTGAGCTGTGATTGTGCCACTGCACTCCAGCCTATTCTACAGAGTAAGACCCCATCTAAAAAGAAAGAAAGAAAGAAGAAGGAAGGAAGGAAGGAAGGAAGGAAGGAAGGAAGGAAGGAAGGAAGGAAGGAAGGAAGGAAGGAAGGAAGGAAAGAAGAAAGGAACGTATCTTTCCCAGGAGTCCAGCAAACCAGGCCTCCTATCTCATGAGCTGAACCTGGTAACAGGCCACTGCTGGACCAGTGTGGCAAGTGTGGGATTCCTGTTGGATCAACCCGTGGCTTGGTGCTGTGTGGATGAGATGGTGCGTGTCCACACAGGGGCCCTCTATGAGTTCAGAACTTCCTGGTTCTCTCTGTTGACGACCAGGCTCAGGATTTCTTTATCAGTCAAGCTCCTAGGAGAAGCAGGAAACAAACAAGAACATGGTGATGTGTTTTATCCCAGCAGGCTCTGCTTGCGTGGGCTGAGGAACCTGCAGACAGGGAGTTTCCTGGCTGTAGCTTTTCATCACTCCTTCACCAGTAGATATGGCATTGGTGCTGGGAAAGGGTCACACTGTGACACTCTCTCCATCAGCTTACATCTGCTATCTGAAATTTTCCCATCACTCTGGGGAAACAAATAATCCTCTGTAAATAACACGGCTGATCTCAGTTGGTTTCTTCTCTCCACTCTCTCTTTTCTTTCTTTTTTTTCTTTTTTTGCTTGTAGTACTATTTGACAAGCTCTGCTTTTTCCCCTAAATAATTTTGTTCTAGGCTGGCTGCTGACCTGGATATAACCCAGGCAGAAAGCAAGTCTATTTGCGACCCGTCTGCTGCCGGGCACCCTCCAAACATGGCCCAGGAAGGAATGGTTAGCAGTCTATGCCTGCTTGAGGACTCTCCCAGCCATGGCTGCAGGGCGGGGGTAGGGGAGCAGAGTCCACACTGCCAGCAGCACCTCCCACTGCAGCCCTGAGACCTCGCCTCCAGGGCAGCGGCAGAAGAACATGGCTGACCTTGGCTGGAAATGCCTTCTGATTCTGGGGAGCAGGCCAGCGGCAGGCGTACAGAATGTCAGCAAACAAGGCGGTGCTACAGATGGCTCCAAACTGGCATCACTCCAAAGGTCCCAGGGTACATTTTCTCTTTCCAGACACAGAAACCTGAGAAATCACAAGGCTTAAAAAGTCAAAGCATGTCACAAGAGGCCAAGGATGTCCAGGGTGGAGGGGCTTATGGGGAGGTCATCATCCTCACCCAGCCTTTGGTCTCCTTTCTGTAGACGTTTTCCACAACACGGTATCTGTTTACCAGCTCTTAAATAGTCATCAGGTTCCATTTTGAAAGCAAAGAAAAAGCAGGTGGATTCTGCAGGCCTTGACACTCCTGCTTCCACCTTCTCCTGAGATCTTTCTGGTTTTCTGTAAGCAGATGCTCTTCCTACTGAAGTAATGAGCAGCAAAAGCAGAAGAGGGCCAAGAGTTTGTTGAAATCTATAATTAAGACTTCAGGTTCAGCTCTTTTGCCCATTTTTCTTTTTGGTTGTCTTCAGTTGATTTGTAGGATTTCTTTATCCTTCCTGCAAATATCATCCTCTGGGTTGTGGTTGTCTTTTCATTTTATTTATGGCATGTTGATGAAAAAATATTCTTAATCTTAATGGAAAGAATGTATTGATTTTTCTCTCATGGTTTGCATTTTTATGTCTTATTTAGGAAATCAAGGTCATAAAGCTACTTTTAAATAATTTCTTTTCTGAAATTTTTAAAGTTCAGCATTTCCCATTTATGTCCATAATCCATCCAGATATTTGTGTATGGTATGTTTACTAATGTTTTCTTCAGAATTTTTGTATCTATCTTCATGAGTTAAACTGGCCGATGATTTTTTTTTTCTCATATTGTACTTTCTTGGTTTGGGTTTCAAGATTATACTGGCCTCATCCAATGAGTTGGGGGAGCATGTCAGTCTGGGTCTCCACAGTCAGCACAGGCACACTTGCAACAGAAGAGTTCAGGGAAGTTTCCATACAGGGCACTGTGCAATGGTGCAGGTACACAGAAACCCCAGGGCACAGGGCAAGTGTCTGCAGCTAGCAGCAGCCATGCCAGCAACCCTAAGCCTGAAATATGAGGTAAACAATCTAGAAAGAATTGGAGTGCCAGCTGGCCACCTTGTGGAGGGAGCAGGGGACAAACACCATGATCTCAATCCCCTCTGTCCTCTACCTCATGCCTAGGCATCTTGTTGTCAAACACAAACAGAAGTTATAGGGCACAAGAGCCCTACTGATGGAGTCCACAGCAGCCTGTGTTGTGGAGCAGAGAGCAGCATGGAGAAAGTGCATTAGTCAGGGTTCTCCAGAGAAACACATAGATATGAAGATATTTATTATAAAGGATTGGCTTGTACAATTATGGAGGCCTCGAAGTCCACCATCTGCTGTTTGCAAGCTGGAAACCAAAGAAAACCAATGGTATAGTTTGAAGGCCTGAGAGCTGGAGAGCCACAGGTGTAGATTCCAACCCGAGTCTGAAGGCTTAATAACCAGGAGCGCTGAGGACAGGAGAAGATTGATGTCAGAGTCCAAACAGCCAGGCAGAGCTAATTCAACCATCTGCCACTCGGGCACTCAGTGGATTGGATTGGAAGGTGTCACTCACATTGGAAGCCATTTGCTTTTACTCCGTTCACTGATTCAAATGCGGACCTTTTCCAGAAACATCCTCACAGACCTATCCAGAAATAACATTTAACAGATATTGGGCATTCTGTGACCCAGTCAAGGTGACACATAAAATTAACCATAACAGAGGGGTAGCAAGTGGGGCTAGGGGGCAAACAGAAATTAGCCAGCGCCAGATGATTTCCCTCTGTCTTAATTCTCTTGAAGAGCTGCTAGTTTTTACCTTTTTACCCATTCCTTTTAGGGATTGGGAAAGGGAGATTCTATGATCTGACTTCATTTCATTTCTTTGTCCAGATACTCTCCCAATGTGGAGCTGATTTTCATCATTTGCAGAAGTTATCTTCTATAAAATCTCTGCAAACACAGAAGTAGTAAATGCTAAACCATTGTCCCCAGGAAAAATACAAGGCTTGGTTTCCTTGAGTCTCTGGTTACAACACTTTCTTTCAATTGATCAATATATAACCTCGTTTTTATGTGTGTCTCTAGTTAGAGGTGTCTTTTAAAATATATATTGTTGACTCGTTATCATCAAGCTCATCACCAACAGCTCTGTAAATGCCTGAATGAAGCTTATTTAAGACACATTTTCTCCATAAGGCACCTTACAGCCTTCCGGTGCTTAGAAACTAGATAGCACTGCAGCACTATGCCTGGGGCCATTTTAAACGGCAAAATCGCCAACCAAAAAAGCGCAAAACTGAAACCACATGTGGTGGCTCATACCTGTAATCCCAGCACTTTGGGAGGCCAAGGCTGAAGGCACTTGAGCTCAGGAGTTCGAGGTCAACCTGGGTAACACAGCAAGACCCCACCTCTTAAAAAAAAAAAAAAAAAACCACAAAATTGCAAAATGTGACACTAAACAGGCTGTGAAAAAGGACACTTTTTAACAATATAAGAGCTGGAACAAGGCTGGGAGTGGTGGCTCAAGGCCAAGGTGGGTGGATTACCTGAGGTCAGGAGTTCGAGACCAGCCTGATCAACATGGGGAAACCCTATCTCTACTAAAAATACAAAACTTAGCTGGGTATGGTGGCATGTGCCTGTATTCCCAGCTACTTGGGAGGCTGAGGCAGGAGAATTGCTTGAACCCAGGAGGTGTAGGTTACAGTGAGCTGAGATCGAGCCACTGCACTCCAGCCTGGTAGACAGAGTGAGACTCCATCTCAAAAAACAAACAAACAAACAAAAAACAACAACAGCTGGAACAAGAAGGCAGAGTGTTGCTGTGTTTGACCTCAGCTTGGAATATATGTGTCAGGCCACCCACATTTTTTCCCACTCTGAATGCCCGTGAATGACTGCAAAAGTGCCACAAGTGTTGATTTTAGGATTGCAACTTAATTTCAGCAAGTAGGTGAATTTGCAAATATGAAATCCATGAAAAATAAGGGTTGACTGTTTTTAAAGCCAGTTACTACCATGCTAAGAGTAGATTTGTGAAGACCCAGTTCTTCCCACCTGATTACGAAGAAATGCTAGCACCGCACCCTAAATAAGCCTGGGACAGTGTAATTTAGTGATGGGAAAATTATTTAACTTTCCAAGACAGTCTTAGATGTTTCCATAAGAGCCAGATGTGATGCAAACCAAATATACCACAGTGGAAAAAGGTTTTGTGAAATTTGATGCATTCAACTATTGGCCATTAACAATCAATTACAAACA